GAGACCACGAAGCCGTCTGATGCAGCTGACCAAGTGAGGTGGCTTCTTAGCCAAGTTTCAGCGGTTTGGTGTCCATATTAGGTTAGGGCTAACCCCAAAAGACCTGCCTTTCCTTTATGTCTGCTGCGACAAAAACAAAGTGAACTTCTTCAGATGCAACAGACTAGACAGCAGGAGGTGGTCGAGGGTCTCCTGCGTTGTCTTTTTTGTTTGAAACGTGACAGAAACATCCCTGATTCAGGCACTCAGCTAAAGGAGCTAACATTAGTGCACTGTACCTTTCATAATCTGCACATATACCCGTATAACAGTTATGACAAAACTCATAACTCCACCAGAACACCACCCGCTACTATCTTAGAGAGAGTTTTTTGCAATTTGCAATATTGTTCAGAAAAATGAGATACTTTGCCCTGATCGTTCAGCCCTACTCCCTAGCTTCTATTGCTTGTTAGCTATATTAGCCTTGTAGCTCCAGTGCAAAGCTAATGGAACGATCCTGATACCAGACATGTTTTTGCTGATATATACATTTTTATTTCTCACTGAGCAAATCCTTTCATTTTTATTTTATTACACGGCAGCAGTTAATCATCTAATGGAGCAGTCAGTGCTTTTAGTGCCTCTAAAGATTCTTTGGCCTTTGACAAAGAGCAGCGCTCCTGTTGGGTGCTGAACTGAGGGACTGTGCACCCTCCGCATGCTGGGTTAAGTACGGCTGGCGCTGTGCTCTATTGTTGGAAGGAGCCTATTGTGTTTCAGCTGGGAGCCTGGATATGCCAGGAATGCTGACGCTAACAGTTTGCATATTTGAGAGCAGTGGAGGCCCTGCGCGTCCACACCCACTCCCAAACACACCACACACTCAGACGCATGTTTATTTTATGTTAGTTAACAATGCATTTGGTTAATATTAACCGAAGCGCAGTTGATTCCCATTGTGCTGCTACTGTATATCTGAGATCCGTCATTGACACACCCAGCCATGGAGGGGTCTGTCTGATAAGGTGATGATGTAATTATTTATGTATGGGTCCTGGAGCTCAGCTTTGTTTGTGTCGTACCAGCAGCCTGGCGACTAGGTAACCATGGGAAACCGTGTCCGGACAGAGCCAGGAGCGGCGGGGTGAATATAGCTCTGTAGCGGTCCAGTCCTGTTTAGGAAGCATCAGACCATTAATCCAGTTCTAAATGTGACTAACAGTTGCTAAAATAGTGTAATGCTCTTCCCTTGACCCCTTCTTTTGCCCCACCCTAGTGGTCAGATACTTCTAGGATCTGCCGATTCATGCACTTAGCACTTGAATGCTGTGGCATTAGATAGCGCTCGGTTCTGGTGACTGTTAATCTTTGTTTTGTTAACTGATATCTTGTACAGCTTGTCACATTTTTTGTTTAGAGGCACAGTTAACTGCCCTCAAGGATGAATTAACACTACTGAATAGTCAGAGGATTTTTAAGAGTCCATATCCTACATTTTCCTTTACCTCATTGTAATCCGTTATGGTGTTTATGTACCAAAAAATATTCATAATTCAGTTTTACATTTTCCAACGTCTCTTTATCCCTTAGAATTAAGCAGGCTGATTTTGCTGCTGTTCCTTTGAGACGTGATGTATGGAAATGAGCTCTGTTCTGATTGGCTGCCCCGTATTTGTATTGCACCTCATTCAAAAAGCAGTCCAGTCTGAAACACTCTTTATAACTTCTTTTGACAGCGTGAAAGGGTGGTGCTAAATGTCTGTAGGCTGAATATTTAAATGTTGTTTTTTTTGTGACGTTGCATAGATAATTCATTCAAAACAGGCTGTTTTTGTAGCCTAATTTCTATATTCTATTGTTTTCCTCCAACAAACTTTTTGTTTAATCAGTTTTCCATGTTATCAACTCTTTAAAACACAATTTGCATTTTGTTGCCATATTAAATGAGTGCAGACGTGCATGACATGACTCACTTTATTTGCCTAAATTATAATTGTGTGACAGGTTTGTGTAAGTTATTTCTGCATTATGATCTGCTGAACTCTCAGGTTCTGGATCTACCTCTTTGTGGGAATTACAACTGAAACAAATGATGCGAGGAAATGATAAAATGAGCAGCATAAACTCTAAAGAGATCAGTAAATGCATGTTAACACAAACTCTACGTTTAGAGAGATCACTGATCAACTATCGATGAATTTTCAGCTGATCTTTTAAGTTCGGACACTGTGGCTGATGGAAGGAAAGCAAAATCAACTCTCAAAGTTAGGTCACTTTCCAAAGAAATCCTTTAATTAATTTTTAATCTGTTTAAAAGTTATTAATAACACTAACAGCTTTAAAAAAGTCAAATAAAATGTGCCATAAATAAATTGTTCCATAACTTTTGCATATACTATTGTATGTTCTTTTTTTCTTAATATATGTTAAATTCAGCAAATAAGCAGTAATTGTGCATTAAAATGTGCAGAAGTGTCTGTGGAGGATGTGTTAAAAGGATATGTATAAAAGGAAGTGTTTAGGAACCACAGCAACTCAGCCACGAAGTGTCAGACCACATAAAGTTACAGAGAGGGGTCACCGAGTGCTGAGGCACATAGTGCATAGAAGTCACCGATGCTCTGCTGACTCAATAACTGCAGTTCCAAACCTCTTCTGGCTTTAACATCAGCACAAAAACTGTGCGCCAGGAGCTTCATGGCATGGGCTTCCATAGCCGAGCAGCTGCATGCAAGCCTTACATCACCAAGCACAATGCCAAGCGTCGAATGGAGTAGTGTAAAGCACGTCGCCACTGGACTCTGGAGCAGTGGAAACGTATCCTGTGGAGCAACTAATCACGCTTCTCTATCTGGCAGTCTGATGGACGAGTCTGGGTTTGGCGAATGTCAGGAGAACGTTACCTGACTGCATTGTGCCAACTGTAAAGTTTGGTGGAGGAGGAGGGATAATGCTATGTTTTTTTAGGGATTGGCCTAGACCCCTTAGTTCCAGTGAAGGGAAATCTTAATGCTCCAGCAGACCAAGACGTTTTGGACAATTGTATGCTTCCAACTTTGTGGGAACAGTTTGGGGAAGACCCTTTTCTGTTCCAGCATGACTGAGCCACAGTGCACAAAGCAAAGTCCATAAAGGCACAGCTGGGTGAGTTTGGTGTGGAAGAACTTGACTGGCCACACAGAGCCCTGACCTCAACGCCATTGAGAATGAAGATTGTGAGCCAGACCCTCTCGTCCAATATTAGTGTCTGACCTTATAAATGCTCTTCTGAATGAAAGGGCAAAAATTCCCACAGACACACTCTAAAGTCATAGGAAGCCTTCCCAGAAATACGGAAGTCCGGAGGGCGATGAGCTAGTTGAAATTTTCTGGATGGTTATCTTGAGATAACGAGTTAACTATCTTGTGATCTCAAGATAACAAGTTAACATCTTGTTAACATCTCATGGCCTCTCCGGAATTCCATACAAAAGAGTGAAAGTTGTTATAGCTGCAAAGGGGGGGACTACCTAATATTAATGCCTATGGATTTAGGATTTAGCCTATGGATGCCTATGGAATTGGTTGCCAAAAAGGTCTTGTAGGTATAATGTGTAGGTGTCCCAATAGTTTTGTCCATAGTGTGTGTATTGTTATATTGCCCAGACCTAAGAGTGAAGTTTTCAAACTGCTGTATTTTTAATGAGATCCTACATTATTTTCTGTTGTCTTAACAAGTTTTAATCAGACACATTTAACCCTGGCACACTACATTCAGTCTCCAAGCCTGAAAAAATGGATGTGCTGGTGTTCTTGGAAAATTTGGTACTGGATTTTTGTTGTATCATTATTATTATTATTATTATTATTATTATTATTATTATTATTATTATATTTTAAGCGTTAGGGGGTGCAATTTTTAAGCTAGTACCTCTAAACTTTGATGAATCTAAGAGCCTATATGAGAATAGAGTGCTTGAGCTTTTGTGATCGATTGCATGTACGGTTTTTCGCAGTGTTTGTTCAAACACGCTTCTTCTAAGCTATTGTTAGCAACAGTCTAACAGTACCTTAGCACACCACCTGGGATACCATAGAGATGGCCTAGCAAAGCCTCAGCCACTGGCTGGGATTCCATAGCAATGGCATAGCAAAACTTTAGCAACCACCTGGGATAACATAGCAACACCTCGGCAACAACATGGGTTACAATAGCAGCAGCTTTGGCAAACCAACATAAAATTCAAACACAAATTTTCCCTTTCTAGTTTATAGAAAATAATCGTTATTAAATCTAAATCATGATATTGTTCAGAAAAATCACAATTTTCCCCAAGTAGTTCAGTCCTAAATAACTCTGCACCATTGAGTCGTTCAGTTAGGTGTTGTTGAAGAAGTGGCTGGGTTGCTGAGTGGACGGCCTGCTGCGAAAGGTTGCTGAGTTGAGCTGAGTATCAAAGGTTTTGAATTACAGTGCAAGGGGAGATTCCCAAATGCTAGAACAGCAGACCAAACCAGGTCATCTTACAGAGAGAGCGAGAGGAGAGAGAAAAGATGGATGGTCATCTTTAGATGGCATGTTCGTTTGAGAATAGATGGAAGTGAGTGCTAATTTTATAGCTGATACATTCAACAGGTGGATACAGTTATCTTAAGCTCTGAGTGGTTTGTGTAGAGTCCGGTTTTGCCTCTTCCCACCAGCGGAGGAGTTCCGGGCCTGCAGGTTGGCTTTGTACGCATGGTAAGATGTGTGTGAGTGCATGTTTTAGTGCTAAAACAAATGCTCACTCCATTTGATTAGCCATAGACTTACAGTTGATGACTGATTTACTTAGCGCACTAATGAATGGCCTTCTAAGTAGATTTCAAGTTGATGAATGTTTGAGGTAAAAGGATTAACTGTTGGTTCTCTGATTTCTCAACAGTGCTGCCTCCTTACAGGAGTAACCACGGCGATGGACTGATTAGCGAAGCCAAATCCTCTCGCAGCTGCTGATTGGTCAAGGCTTTTTGCTGTTTTGACTCCTCCCTCCTTCATTCCCCTTCCTTTAAGTGTGGACTTAACTGGACGCTGCTGTGGCTGCTTTCATAAATGCTGCATAGGCCTGAGCTCACAGGAGGAACTACTTCCTAGCTCCCTGGTAAAAAGCAGACAGGAAACGTGATAAAGGACGTGACAAAGCTGGAAATTTTGGAAGCTATGGAAAATCCGGCCCTGGAATCCCGAGCTGAGCGCATCGCCCGCTACAAGGCCGAGAGGAGGCGGGAGCTGGCCGAACGCTATGGAAACCAGGAAGAGGAGCTGCCCTCTAAGTGGACAAAGAGGGAGAGGGAAGGGCGTGGCAACTGCCATGACTCCAGCCCACTTGCAGACAGGAGCCAGTCAGGTGGGGTTAATGGTCTGAGGGCCCATGGAACAGCGCCAGCTGAAGAGGAGTTGCCCCCTACTCAAATCTCCAATGGATATGAGGGGGATGCCAAACCAGGAAATGCTTACCTGAACAGGTGAGCACTACCTGCCCCTGTTTAACCTTTATATGCTTGTGTATAAAAATGTATATGGAAATTACATGGAAAAACCTGAGCTTTTTGTGCCTCATTGTTCTGTTATCGAGTGCAACTTTATTTGCATCCGTATGTAATATACCTGTGAGTCAGGGGCAACAGTGAATAAGCCACTTAAAGACAACATATACAGTCATATGCAAAAGTTTGTTTGCATCTGGTAAAATGACATTTTGTTAATTTTCTAAGTAAAAAAATAAGTTAACACGTCATTCGTAGAGAACACATTTCTGCACATGTGCAGTTAATGTGCAGTTAATCATTATCTGCTGATTATAACATATTGGGAAAAATATAAAACATAGTGTGGCCCGTGCAAAAGTTATGGCACATTTTATGTTTCACGTTTTGTATTTTTGTTTTGCAGTTTGTTAAACTCAGAAAAAAAAACATACATTAGACTAATTAAAATACTCATTAGTGATCTCATTATACACATTCTGCAGTTTAAGGTCGTATTCGTTATGTGCAGAGCCAACACAAACACATTTTTCAGCTTAGAAGACACAGGAATTTCTTCAGACCATTTGGCATTACAGATACAAAAACTTAAAAATAAATCATTGTTAATGAGTATTAATATCATGTTCACTTAAACATGCATACTACTACCTAATGTCATCAGATTGTAATTCAAGTAGGCTGGAAATCACTGTAGTAAGCAGGTTTAGGGTGCGGTTAGGAAATTCCACACATTTGCTATGTTTTCCTCATTCATTTAATTTCAGTAAGCCGTGATGAAACTGAAAACTTAGAAAAATTAATTATTTAATTAGTTAAATAAATTAAATTAAATAGCCACATTATGGCCTTCTGCAAAAAAGGCATGTGAATTAAAATTTTCAGCTGCCTTATTTATATAGGAATTCCACCAATGTTTCAAAAACTCTGCATAAGTAAATCACTAAGATGTAAATGAAGTCAGAGTGGTTTTATGTGAAATGTTCTAGAGAAACTTACCAACTCAGTACTGTTCACAGTAGTGGTGATAGGAACCAGACGTCCTCTAAAAGCTACATCACAAAATGTTATTGCACAAAACGGTTATGTATTTGCACCTCGATGCCTCATATGTTGTTTCACAATAGTTTAAGATACAATTTTGGGCTAAAATATATATTTTCTTTAATCTTTGATTGGCAGAGTGGTACATGCAGGGTGTTGTAAGGCAACATTGTTCTAAAGAATTGTATTTTTTCATATTGTATTATGGAGAAATTTTGAAAAATTGGTGGAATGTTCCTTTAACTTATTAGTGTACTAAGCCCACGTATAAGGCGTTGCTTAGATTTAGCAAATTCAACATGTTTTAAACAGTTATCTAAATAGCATGAATGTTTAGTAGTGAGTGTTTTTGGCCTGTTTGTTTTAGCTCAATTAATTTGATGTTAAGTTGAGATTATGGACTGGCAGTGTAGACATTTTCATTATTCAGACTCTTATTGTTGCACCCCTGTTTATTTTGGAACACTTGTATGCAGCAGTGATTTGCCAGTTGTCTTTAGCTGTGTTGATTTATAGTTGTGCCACTTTATAGAGGTTTTGTGAGTAAGGAAGAGCCAGTTAAAGAGAAAGCTGTTGATCCTAACACCATTAACCATCCTCATCATTCACCACCCTCAGTGCATCAGTCTCTCCCTCACTCACATCTGTCTCTGCCCTCTCTACATGTTCCATGCATTCATCTCCATCCATTCTAGTCCTTCTCTCTGTCCACCTCTGCACTTCTCTCTTTCTTCTTTCACCTGTGCTGTAATGCTCCTCTACCCAGTTCATCTCTCATACATTCTTTTTCTCCACCTGTGTGTCAATCACTACTCAAGTTAGAGTAGATTGGAGCTGGAATAATTTTACCTGGGACTGCCCTTAGTTTTAACAGTCCAATAGTAATAACTGCAGAGTGAATGGGCGCCCAAACTTCTGCATACTGTAATGTGAAAGTTCTATACCAATTAAACTTAAATTTATTTTCCTAGAATTATATTCACACCAAAAACATTTAAATAACCTTAGAGTCTAGAACCTTTTCCAATACCAATAATGAAACCTTGAGTATTGCCCGATATTGATCCAATATTACTTTAATTAAAGCTTTAAAATGAACTATTTTTAATTGAAGCACTTCATTTAAAATGAGCATCTAAAACTATATTATAATGCTCAAACTACACAAACACTCTACTGTCTCACAGGAAGAAACAGACAGCAAACAACATCACATCACGCAATGTGACTGTATTATGTCAGGATAGATTTGTTACAGAATTGGATTGGATTCATTATTTTTTCTCTCCAATATCCAATCCTGTTTTCTACTGATATGGGCCCAATACCAGTGCCCATCAATACTGATATGCCATCTCTAGTAATATCAAAACCTGTGTATACAAAGCTGTGTGCCGTGTTGTTATTGTTATTGAGTGTGGGAATTTGCAGAAATTAGACAAATAGTTTAACCCATGTGAATTTGCCAAATTCCACTAACTCATTACATTACACAACTGCTTTTAGTGAAACTAATTCAGCTCCAGTAGTGCTTAAGAGTAATTCACATAAAAAGTCACATTCCTTTTTCCCTTACTGGCCTATCTATCTGTTTATTTTTGTACAGTATAATTACAGTTTAACTCCAATCCCTACTTCAGCCCCTTACTTCTTTCTTGTATTCCAACACCTTTGCTCTGGTCTCAGCCTTTCCCCTTTCTCCGTTGCCTCTCTCCAGGCAGTGTGCATTGGATTCATCCAGCACGCTGGCTGGGGGAGACCCTTCAGACCCTCGGGGCCCCCAACTGCACACCCACATATCAGTGGGCAAGCTGAAGAGCGCCCTGCTGCAGCAAAGCCAGAGCTCAGCTCCCACTGAGAAAGTGTAGGGTCATGTGTGTTTGTCTTGTTTCTTTGCACCCTAATCAGATGCTTGCTACTAGAACCGAACAGTGTCTGGGTGTGTGTAGTGAGTAAAGCGTCTAATCGTGTCTAAACTGGTGAAATACATGATACATTTCAAGAGGGTTGATGAGTCACGTGCACCTATGGCTGTCATTGGTTTCATGGATAATTAAGTGAATGAGCTTTAATGAGCTTAACCATGAACATATTAACAGTAGTGGGTAAATCTGCCTTAAATCACCAGATTTCAGAATGTTCTCAGCTGACCATCTCAAATCTGCTTTATACGTTCAAAAATATTGTGCTCAATAGATAGCGAGAAATGCTAATACTGGAGACATGATATTTACAGGGATTTTTCTATGTATATACTGCTAACAAATCAGGACAAAACTGCAAGAGTAAGGTTTGTAAAAGAGCAAGAAAATAAGCCTGATAAATATTGGTAGCACATTCTCTGGTCAAAGCAATTAAGATGAACTTGTTTGGATCAGATGTTTGGGGTGATCGTGGCCAAGACAATAGTGCCAGCTGTGACACATGGTGGAGGTAGTGCATTAAAATGGGGCTATATTAGTGCCTTAAACTGCATAATACTGTATGTATATGTACTGTTTATGTATGTATATATATATATATATATATATATATATATCCCTCTGTATTTTAGAAACTATTGAAAATTCATGCCTAAGATTTTTCACACTACAAATGGGGCACAATGACATTTTCAGAAAGTGCTAATACAGGGTGATTCAAAAAGATTCATCCAATATCAAAGCGCCCTATTTTTACAACCGTGAGGTGCCTAGGAACCAATCACATACCAATTGAAAGAGGGGGTCATAGGGTTTCTGACCGTCACTGGAAGATGGCTCCCTTCAGTCTGTGAGGAAATGGCGACCCCTGAACAGAAAGGGATTTGCGTTCTCCACTTCAATAAGAGTGAATCAGTAATAACTGTGCAATATGATTTTCGTGGGCAGTGAACCTCCAACAGCTCTGAGCGCTCGTCGTTGGATGATCTCCAAAATCGCATTGAAAGAGCCGTGAGTACAGCATCACCCGACATGCTCAATTGAGTATGAGATGAATTTGACTCTCGGGTTGATGTTGTACAGCTGGAGGAGGTTCATACTGAGCACTTGTAAAATTACATAATATACTTTATGGTCACTTAAACTGTTTACAATTTACTGCATTGTTCTGGAATGAATTACAAGTGAAATAAATCACTTTGAAATCGGATGAATATTTTTAAATCACCCTGTATATTTGAGATGGTCAGTAGGGAGACTTTCTGTGATTTCACATGGATGGACCTGAGTGTTAATGCCACTTGCACTTTGCTGATTGTGTTGTGTCTTACACTCAATAATTAGAGATATTACAAATATGGTGACAACAGCTAATATCTGTCTCTGTCTATCTATCTCTCTCTCTCATGGTCTCTCTCTTTAATCCAGTGGTTCAGATGGAGGTACTGATACAGCCGTTGACCTGGCAGTGAAAACTGGTTCAGAGGGTGGTCGTCGGCGTACTCGGCGCTATCTGCCCACAGGGGCTGCAGGGAGCCGCAAAACGAGCGAGCGTTTCCGAACCCAGCCTGTGACAGCCTATGAGATGCAGGAGAGCTGTGGGTATGGAGATTAGCATGTTCTGTATGTACACAATATAAAATGTACATTATATATATTATATATTAGTTTAGTTTGACACACATACACACATCAGTTCAATTTAAATTTCATGAGAAAGGAAGAGTAATAACTCTGGACTCTCTATCTGTCTACACTTTCAGCCGAACATTTGATTTAAGACAAATACAAATAGTAAATTTGATTGATGTGTATCTTTCTGTCTGTGTGTCTGTCTGTCTCTCTGTCTGTCTGGCTGTATGTTTATCTGTCTACATTGCCTTCCACAAATATTGGCACTCCTGAGTAAACATGAGCAAAGTGAGCTGTAAAAATAACATTCTTTATTGCTTATCCTTTTGATCTTTCATTCAAAATATTAACAAAAATCGAAATCTATGTTTGCCATAATTGTTGGCACTCCTAGACATTTTTATGAGTGAAATCTAAATAAATATTCTGCTTGAAAGTTTACCAAATTGATTAAGAACACTTAAATGGTCAGCCATGACTTCCTGTTTTACTGGGGTATAAATATGAAGTGACACACAGGCCAAGTTCCCTTAGGCATCCATCACTATGAGAAAGACCAGAGCAGTGGAGTACAGCAGTAATGAGCAACAGAAGTTTATTTATCTGCACAAATCAGTAATGGCTAAAAAAATAGCCAAACAGTTGAAAATGCCCATTTACACTATCAGGGCAATAACTGAGGAGTTTATAGTAACTACAGATGTTAAGAATCTGCTGGGAAGGGGACGTATGTCTGTACTGACCCAACACACAGTGAGGAGGATGGTTTAAGTGGCCAAAAAATCTCTAAGGGACACCACTGGAGAACTGCAGACATTAGTTAGGTCTTGGGATTAGAACGTCTCCCAAACTACAACTATAGACGCCACCTTCATATCTACAAGTTGTTTGGAGGGGTTGCCGGAAAGAAAGCCTCTACTGTCAAGGACCAACAAACTAAAGCTTCTACAGTTTGTCACACGTTACTGGAACTTAGGACTGTGTTCTGAGGTCAGATGAGACCAAAATTAGAGTTTTAGGTAACAAACACCAGAGGAGTGGATCTGTGATGTTTCCATTTCTAGGCCCTTTGGAGAAAACATGGTATTATGGACTCCAACAAGTACCAGCAGATATTAAATCAAAACCTGGCTGCCTTAACCAGGAGTGGTCCCAGATCTCTCATCATATGTTCTCCAGTCTTATTAAGCGTCATAGGAGAAAACTCAGAGCTGTTGTCTTTGCAAAGTGAGGCTGAACAAAGTATTAAATGACAACTTGTTTTACTCCTGTTTACCAGGGGTGCTGAAATCTTGGAGGGCACTCTATCTGTCTTATCCTTCTGTCTGTCTGTCTGTCTGTCTGTCCATTTATTTATCTATCTGTCAGTCTGTGGGTAAATCTTTAAAATGCTCAATTCCACATGGCAAAAGGTGTTCTCTCTCTTTACTTGCCTGGACTAGGTGTGAGTGAAAGCTCATCACTTTAAGTGTTATGATTATGTCATGGTGTTAACCTGCACGGACGTGTGTTTGTGTGTGTGTGTGTGTGTGTGTGTGTGTGTGTGTGTGTGTGTGTATGTGTCAGCTGCCCTAGAGGGAAGCAGCAAAGTCATAAAATCAGTGTGAAATCATCTTGTCTTTTGTCTGAATGACGTGTGTGCGCGCTTGTGTTCGTGCTTGGTGGAGTGTAAGTTTTGCCCCTGTTCACTCACTCATGATCTCTTCACTCTACAGAACCATGGACAACAAGGAGCAGGAAAACTCTGGTGAGTGCTGGTTGGATTGTGTGTGTGTGTGTGAGTGTGCGTGTGTGTGTGTGTATGTGTGTGTGTGTGTCAGTGTGAGTGGGTGTGTGTGTGTGTGTGTTTGTGTGTAAGTTTGACAGACTCTTTCAGCTGTTTCCTCTATGGCTGAATCTCAGTGCCTCCCTACTCCCTACATAGTGCACTATGTAGGTCACGAAATAACAGATACATTCAGTGCATTATATGTCTAGTACAAAGACATTTATATTCAACCACAAGCTGCATGACTTAGAAGCCACAGTTTTGTGACCTGAGATGCACTGTATAGGAAGCGGAGAGCAATTTGAGATTCAGCCTGTAAAATCTCATTTATGCCAAGTCAGCTTGTCTGTTTGATTATGCCTTGCAATGTTTGTTAATGTGCAGTTGCTGAAACGTTAGGTCAAGAATGGAGGGATATATGAAGAAAATTAATAGAAGATGAGATGAGAGTAGTGGTGGTTTAGTAGGGAGCTGGAAACAAACACACACACACACTGACCTGTGTCAAAGTGACTGCTTAGTGTCGTAAAGTCTATAATAAACCTCCATTTTATGGCGGCAGTTATAAATCTTGCTGGTTTATTTTAGTTCTGGTGCTGGACGGTGGAGTGAAGACAGTACAGTCATTCACAATACCTGACACACACTGACCACAGTGTTCTTAGCAGTGAGGAGTGTGTGTGAGGCCTAGAGTACAGCAGACAGGTGAGGAATATATTAGAAGTTCTATGTTTGATTGAGTAGTAGGCTTTGGTTTTATATCTGTTCCAGATGACACTAAAGACGCTCGTGCCAAATGATGAGTCAGTCAATATTAGTCATCAGTGACCTCACAAGTTTAGGCTAAACATAGTGATCTCATAGTGCATATATGTGAATGTATGACTGTGTGTTTTTATATTTGCGGGGAGGGAGTTGTAATAAATAACTCAATAACTCGTCTGGGTCTGATGCAGTTTGTCATATTGAACAACATCAGAAATGTTTTTACACCACTAATCATATATGACAAAATGAATAAAATCTGAGCTTTTCCAAAATATGGTCACCTTCTACTTTAGTTTTAAAGTCAGATTGTATGTATACAATTATATCAGATATTGCAGTCATGTCATTATTTTATTTCAATTTGAACATCACGTACTGTTTTAAGAGTTACACCACTGAAATAGTCATTTTGTGACACACAAAGCTGTCAGTATTTGTCATATTTATCAGAAATATATATAAAAAATGAGATGTCCCCAAGAAGTAATTCAAAAAGACCATGCAGTTTTTATTGACATTCTAGCTTTCTATGAAGTAACATAAAAATAAATAAAAGATAATAAAAATCAATAAAATAAATAAAATCTACATTTTTTACATTTTACATTTTTACAATTAAAAAAAATTGACAATTCACATCTGCTGTGATGTGCTGTTTTTCATGTACAACATGACTAAAAATCACTCAAACAAAAATTCAAAAAGATGAATTATCATAGTTATAGAATGATCAAACTGTAGTAATGTAGCAATGGAACAAAGAATACACAGACATCAGCTTTCTGTGGGTTACTCTCGTTTCAGTTCATTTTCATGACAAAGTTTTGGGACACCATTCGCCATCACAGTTGTAGAAAACCTGTAGTAAATCTTAAAATCTGTTTTTACAAGAGCTGTTACTTTAAGCTGAAAAGTGTAAATGATGGTTGTGACATCATACCCACGATGAATACAGTATGGGCTGGTTTTTGCACATTAGTGACTTGGGGAGTTTCCTTTGAAACATTACCAGCGTTTGCATAGTACATTGTACCCATTGTTTACATAGTACACAGCTATGTTTTCATGGGAAACTTGGTTTCCCATAATATGGGCCCTTTATTGCCAAAGTTAATTGTGAGAGAGGACACTACTGCTGGACAGTCTTCACACTGGGGTTAAGCTATAGGTCATCTTTACTGAGAGACCCTTCTTTATGAAATACTCCTCTTGGTTATTGATAATTCTCACCAAGAGGGAGCTGTTTTTACCATCACCAGAGCCTGTAACCATGGTAACACTGTTAATATTAATGCTGGGCACTAGTTAAAATGCATAGGTTTCAGCATTACAGCACTGATTAGTTGATTTGATAATAAATTATTGTTTTTACCTTGTGCGTGTGTGTGTGTGTGTGTGTGTGTGTTTGCTCTGTACTATTTCTCTAACTGTACTTATGTTCTCTCTTTTTCTTTTAGCGGATGTTAAGACAGATGACCGAGCCAAGATGAGCGTAGCTGCCAAGATGTCTCTGTTTAAAGTAAGTTCTGTTGGAAGCTGTTAAGCAGAGTGAAAGACGACCTCACATGGTCCTTTTAGCGGCCTGTGACGATTCCTAATCAAAGACGGTCACCAATAAGGAAAAATGTGAAGGCCCTACTTTTGGTTTGGGTGCTTTATAAGCTTGGTGTCAGATTGCACCCCTGGTTAAATTCTATGTTTTGTTGATTTTGTGAAAATAAGCACACATCCTCTACAGAGAACACAATGCGGCACATTGTAACGCACAGTTATTGTGTATTTGCTGAATATATTGAATACATATATTGAAAAAAATCAGCGTAAAAGGTGGTCTGTGCAAAAATTATAGCACATTTTATATTTTCTGTTTTTACAGTATGTTAAACTCAACAAATAAAGAGAAATTTGTGCTAAAATTAGCAGAAAATGCCATATTTAAGTTTGTTCTCTGTAGAAGATGTGTTAACATATTTTCACTTAGAAAATCAATAAAACCTTTTGACCCAAAGCACCCAAATTCTACTGTAGTGAAGACATGATTCTATAGAGCAGAAGTCTGTGAACTAGGTTCTCTTGGAACTCTTGGTTTCAAATTGTTGTAACAAGAAATTCTATCTAATCAATGTGCAGAAGCTGAGAATATGATCTTTTAGTGATTATATTAACTGACACAAGCCAGCTGAAACAGACTTAAGAGTTTTTGGGAAAGTAGATGTTGTTGATCCGTTAAAATGTGGAGATATTGATATGTGTGTGGTGAAATTTGAAATTTATGACACAAACAGGTGTGCTTTCAACTGACAGAGAGACTGAGCCAAAAGAGAGGTCGGCAAACCACTGAAACAACACACACGTATTGCGGACATTTAAAAAAACAGCCTGTCTGTGCAGCTGGACGTACTGTTCCTATCTGCATAAAACCATGTGCATTAAATAGGTATGAGGGAAGACTCTGCATGCTAAGAATGAATGTAATGATGAGCTATTACCAGCTGCTGACATTGCAACTTTGTTTGTCCACTTGATTTTTAGGGTACCATTATTAAGATTAGCTTTGAGATGTACACTAAGTACATATTCCCCCTTGAATGCAGTGTTTAAATGGGTAACTTCAGGGCAGCGAGTGCACCACTACAGTGAGTAGCTGTCTGTGTTTGGGGTCTGATTTCAGTGACCTTCTTAGTGCTGTTGCAACACACTCTCTCATGTGTGAGGACCCAGGAGCTGGTTGTTTGCAGCCAAACACACTGTATTCTGAATTTCTCATTAACCTTGGGCTGATAATTATCAATAACACAGTAATTTAAAGGGCCCATATCCTACTTTTTTCCACTTGTGTGGTTTTATGTACCAAAAACAGTTGTAATTGATTTTTAGACGACCATTTTCCAACTTCTCTTTATCCCTGTTTTATAGAATAAAACAGGTTGTGGCTTTAAGACTGATATATAAATGAGCTCTGTTCTGATTGGTTGACCCCATTTCTTTGGTTACCTCATTGAAAAAGCAGTCCAGACTGAAACACTTCTCATATCTTTAGTATGAATGGGTAGAACTAAACTTCCATAGTCTTAACAGGCAGATATACACTACATGGACAAAAGTATTGGGACACACCTTATAATTATTGAGTTCAGGTGTTTAAGCCACACCCATTGCTAAAAGATGGATAAAATTAAGCACATAGCTGTGCAGTCTTGATAGACAAACACTGGCGATAGAATGGGTTGTACCGATGAGCTCAGGGACTTCAAACATGGCACTGTTATAGGATGCCACCTCTGCCTCAAGTCAGCGTGTGAAGTTTCTGTCCTGATAGCTAGATAGGGTTTGGTGACTGTGAGTAGAACATTACCTGCCTGACTGCATTGTGCCAACTGTAAAGTTTGGTGGAGGGGGGATAATGCTATGGGGCTGTTTTTCAGGGTTTGGCCGAGGCCTCTTAGCTCAGTGAAGGGAAATCTTAATGATTCAGCATACCAAGACTTATTAAACGCAGCCGTACGCTTCCAACTTTGTGGGAACAGTTTGGAGAAGACCCTTTTCTGTTCCAGCATGACTGAGCCTTAGTACACAAATAAAGGCCCATAAAGGCCTGGCTGGGTGAGTTTGGTGTGGAAAAGGTTGACTGGCCCTCACAGAGCCCTGACCTCAACCCCATCAAACACCTTTGGGATGAACTAGAACAGAGCTTGCGAGCCAGGCCCTGTGTAAGATCATTCTAATCCATGGTTAATTAATAATGGAGACAGTAGAACAGATTGTGAAGAATGCAGGTGGATAAACAAATAAAACAAAGAAACTCCAGTACATGAGATCTGCTCTCTGGTAGAGTTAAATGGATAAGCTTGTGCAGAAGAAGGGTAGAAATGCTCTAGTTTGGCAATATTTTGTTTTCCAACCGAACAAACGATGAGAGCGGCTGGGTGTTAACAGTGTTGCATTCTATGCAGAATATAGTTATTATTCTAAATTGCTGTCCTAGTTGGTAATTATGTGGTAATTACATTACCATCAGGGGAAATGCAAACTGTAGGGTTTTGTAACACTGTGGTTCTTCATAACTGAATTTTGAACATGATGATACTGTTTATCGTGATAATTCTTCAGACGATAATTGTTTGTTTGAATTTACACTATCGTCCAAGCTTACTTTCAGTACTGCTTTCTTGCAGTTTGATTTGTCATCTGAATTATTGTGTGGACCTTTTAGACTATTTCAGCTTCACAAAATGACTTTGATATCATATATACCATGTATCATATATATTCTTTGACTAAAAATAAGCACCTTAAGGTTTCATGATGATTAGAATATAATTGCAGATAAAATGTACTATTTTATAAATATTAGATATTTGGTGACACATTATAACATACGAGCACATTAAAATGCATTCATATAGCGTATAAAAAGGCATTACTTGTCATGTTTATTATGCATGATTAATATTTAACATAATGCCACATAGAGTTCACAACATGTTATACTCTCAGTGCCAAAGAATCTTGCATAGTGCCTTAAAACTAATAAACCTGCCTAGTTATAAATGCATGCTGAATTTATTACATTAATCTAGATGGAATAATAGTTTATAGTCATTTCTAATGTATTGCAACATGTCTTTGCATCCTTCAGGTAAACTAAGAGAATTTCTATATACTAACAAAGACAAATATATTTATATTGACAGACGTAAGATGTTAAACCCTCATCATGAGAACCTGTAAGTTGCTCCTTGTAAGCTTTAAGTACAATGAGGCACATTTTAGATTAAAGTAAGGATAATTAAAGCCACAACATTTCCAGTTTTCCAAAGCATAATAGTAGTAAAGCAAAAACCTTTTTAATTTCACATTACATTATGTGACAGTATAACATGTTCTGAGCTCTTCTTATAGTGCATATTAACAGTTCCATTAATTAATAATAAAAATTACTATAAAGTGTGGGCCCTGTGAATGCATTATAACATGTTATGAATGTGCTTGTAGATTTTTCCTATTCATTACAGCAACAACAATGTACAGCATAAACATGTTCTGTGTCTGGTATGTAGCTAAAATATTATACTGATATTATTACATTTAGTCCCACCTGCCTCGCTCTGTCTCTCTGTCTCTTCCTCTCTCGCCATATCTCTCTCTCTCTTTTCCTATCTCCATCTCTCTTTCTCTCTCTCTCTCTCTCTCTCACTCTCTCTCCTGGTGGTAACGGTACACGCAGGGTGTCCAGTTACTGTGTGACTTGCAGGGTTCCATTCGTTATCACACCGCTACCCAACCTACTGCCCACCTGCTGTTTTATTCATCTGCCCGCTGACCCATTTCTGCTGTGAGGGAATGGTGTTCTAAAACCATACAAACAGTTTTGCGTAGAATGGGCCGAACTGACACGGTTTTAAGCTGGCTTTACAGGGTGAAACTTTCATGCAACTAATTGCATGCTATGGGTTGCATGCAGCATAATTTCTGTGCAACTTGAGTTACACGTAGCAATTACAAAACAATCAAAGTTGCAAAGTTGGATTACTTCACTAAATAGACAAATTAACATTAATATAACATAAATATATAATGTCCTGTTAAGGGTTCAACCTATTTAGGGTTCTTTACTATACATTTGAGTTTTTATCTGTTGTGTGTATGTTAAGCCTTTGAAAATGAATTTTTAAGTAGTATTTATAGTTATAGCCAACTTGATGTCTTGCTTATCCGGTCCTAAAAGCACTGCGAGTTCATCACAGGCCGCGTCTTGGTCTCCCGTTCTGTGATAATTTTCATATTTTTGACTCCAAATCTGGGTTCTGCGTAAAATTAGTGGGGAATCAAGTGAAAAGAAAATGAATCTAACTATGTAAATTGAGAAAACAAGCCATTCAAAAAGCTGTTAGCGATAGTTGGCTTGTTAAATCTGCTGGTTACAGAAATGTTATCTTTGAGAGATTCACATTTAATCTCATGGTTCAGGAAACTAGCAAAATGAAAAACTACTGACCTTGAGTCTTCTTTTCAACCATCCAGTAGACCATCATCTGGGTTATTTTCATGTCCACTGATCAGGTGAAATCAATGGTTTGAAAGTATGTTGTTTAAAGTGATCATGTGATGCGTGATTGCTGTTTTGATTGGCTGTTTCATTAACCTGTTCCACAAAGTTGGGTCGCTTGCAACTGTTGTGACTGAATTTCAAGTGACTTGCAGGATGCTTTGCATTCTGTAATTCAAGTGCAATGTAGTAATTTAGTTTTTAACAGAGTTAAACGGGTTTTCAGCAACTAAAATTGGATGAAAGTTTACCTAGTAAAGCCAGCCTTAAATGGTATGGTGTTACTATATAAACTACTACAAACACTAAGCATGAAGCTCAAAGACATGAAGTGAGGACAGAGTGACCCTAGCACTTTTCATGCTAGGTGCCTAACTTAATTAAACTTAATAGCAGCTGAACTACACAGATTTCTCTGATATCAGCATAAGGTAAGCTATGATTAATTCATGTTACCTAGATTTATTTCCATTTTAAGTAGGGCCATGCGGCATTCTGCAGGCATATTTGTAACTATTTCATGTAATAACTTTCTGTGAGGTCACTTTTAGAGACATTAAATGCTAAGGACGTCTGGTTTCTATCACCATCCTTCCTCTGTTTCTATCACTCTGATGACTCTTTAGTTTATTTAGAATGGAATTTACTTAATTTTGTCACTTTAGACAAGTCTGAATGTCTTTGATTACATCTTGACTAAATTAATTATGCAGCAAATTTGGAAAAATGGGTGGAATTCCCTTTTAAAATGGGCTGGACTGACCATACAGTTTTATATATTACCATGCGGCTGTTGATCTACCATTAATGCTTGCATAAAACTGCTTTCAAAAAACTGCTTTCAAAAAACTGCTTTCCCTCATTTCTGTCTTCTCTGCCTTTTCTTCCCTTTTAAAGCCATCATGATCTGTCTCATGTATTCACCCTCACACCCTTTCATTCTGCCCATCCTTATTTTGCGTCATTTCTCTCTCTCAGGAGCTGGAGAAGACCGCTGCTCCTGAGGCGTCCTCTTTTCTGAAGCCTCGCTCCAGCAGCAGCTTCAGCGAGCCCCGAGTTCGCCGCAGTGAGAGCCGGACACTCACCCAGCCAGTCAGCCACGAGGAATCTGGAGTGACAGTCAGGTGGGGGGGCCTCTTGAATACCTAAACCAGTCTCTGTTCATCTGTCCGTCTCTTTTCTTTGCAAAAATGATTGTCTTGTCCACATGGTCACTGGGACTTTCTCTCTGACCCTGCACAGTGACCCCCCCACAGCTGAGCCAGAGGTGGAGGATGATGCCAGCTCTAACCTGACTCTGAGTGAGAAACTGGCTCTGTTTAATAAACTCTCTCAGCCCCGCATGCCTGGAGGTCCAGGCGGTCCTAGGAGTCCAGGAGGAGATGGCGGCTCAGAGGCCTCTGAGAGACGTAGGCAGAAAGGAGCACGCTATCGCACTCAGCCCATCACTGTGGATGAAGTCAACCTGGTCAGTCTGTGTGCATATTTCTGAGTGTTCCATAATTCTTCAGGTCATCAGCGACCTGGAACATTGTGCTCAAAAACTGTGTCCAAAAGTTTGTAGACACCTGCTTGACGTTTCTTCTGAAATTAACTAACAGGGAGTTTGTCCCTCCTTTGCTGCAGTAACAACCTCTACTCTTTTGAGAAGGCTTTGTACTAGATGTTGGAACATTTGCTGTGAGGATTTGTATGCATTCAGCCACAAGAGCATTGGTGAGGTCAGCTACTGATGTTGAATGATTAGTTCTGGATGATTAATTCACTCCAACTCATCCCAAAGGTATTGGATGGAGCTCTATCACTCAGTTCCACTGATCCATGGTCCAGTGCTGGGGGCTGATGCTTTCTTCTGGACATGGTGAAAATGGCCATACCATTAGACTGTTTTTGCTTTTCTACAGAGATTATACAACTTAAAATAGCTGAATTCGCTAAATAGAGGAGGTGTCTGGACACTTTGGACATATAGTATATGTGACATAATCTATAAGCCACTTATTTATAATAAATAAAATAATGTATAACTTTGATAATAGATAACTTCTAAATTATGTTATTGAAGAAAACAAACAACAAAATTAAATAAAAGATGTGGCTATCTTGTTTGTCTTGTATCTTATCTAAAGAATGGACAAGGCAGAGGGGAGAATGAGGTCATTGTTGGCAATTTATTTACAGTGTGCATTTAAAAGTTAAATGTTAGTTTTTTTGTGTTTCATCTGATAGTTCTACTTTAAATTCAGCATTTTGCTATAAAGTGTTATCCACGTAGATCCTGCATCCTGAATGTACGTTTTACTTTGACTCTAGATGGTCTTTAATCGCCTTTTGTCCTTACCGGTCCTCTAAAAAAGTCCAGGGCTAGCAGTTCAGCCATGTTGTCACCACTTTTCTCTCTCTGTCTGTTCATGTCTCTCATTGATTCTCAATTCAGTTAATTTCAGAAAGCTTTACTGGCGTGACCATATCAAATACAGTGTTGCTGAAGCATAGTAAAGCTCTTTTTAGCTAAACAAACTAATAAGTCGTAATATTAAATAAAGTAAACAATCAAACAAAATATAACTTCTTTCATAATGAGGGGTGAGGCAGGTCAGGTTGGTAATAGAGTTTAGTCGTTGTATGTTTTGCAGTGAGAGATGTTCCCGTCGTCAGGGGCAATTTGAATTTAGATTGTGGCTGTTTTTTTAGATGAGTTTTTCATTTCATTGTCAAATGTTCTCGTATCAATTTGATTTTATGACTTTCAATTTTCTGCATAATTAAATTGTTGAGATTAAAAATCATTCAGAGAAATGCTTCATTTTAGAGTCAGAATTGTTCACAGTGGTGGTGATAGGAACCAGACGTCATACGTGTTTAATGCCTCTAAAAACTCCCTCACAGAAAGTTATTACACAGAATGGTTACACATATGTTGCCTGAGGCCTCTGACATTGATTTACAATAGTTTTGTAAAAAGATTTTGGTCTAAAATGCATTTTATACTGGGCGTTATAAGGCAAAATAGTACCCACAGACACAGGTTCAGTGATCATTTTGGATGGTAAATAAAATGGCTCTATTTGCAGTGTGGACGTCACCACCTCTGTAAAGAAACAGAAAGCAGTCCTTCCTCTGTCTTTTTCTCCCTCACTTTAGCTCCAGAAGGGGCCTGTTCAGCTGCCTCCTCTGCATCTGTCCGCTCACCTCTCTGACCGCCAGCAGGCTCTTTCTGTCAACCTGAAGCCCAGTGAGGTGCGTCTCTCCAGGCAGGACCTCACTGAGCCCTGCCCGCAGCCAGCACCCGAGATTAAAGGCATCCTGAAGAAGAGCAGCCCTGAAGAGGCAGGCCTGAGGGGTGGGGCCAAGTATGAGGGTGACCTGGCTGGACCGAAGTCAGAGCAGAACGGTGAGCAGAGAGCAGAGGTGAAGAAAGAAATCGACACACCTGTGATAGCGGGGGAATATTCTCCAGCTCCTCGCGCTACCGCCCCCTGGAGGCAGAGAGCAAGGAAGGATGGCAGCTC